GCCGGCAATTGCAGCTCTGAATTGATATACTTTTGCGGCAAAAGTAATATGAGAAAGACTGCCTTCGACCTGAGGTCCTGTACGGAAAAGGGATACCTTTGCAATAGTAAAGAAAATAAAGGTTTACTAATTATAAGTCAATATTTATCAATTATAATAATTAATATATGATTTGATAAGTGATTATTTTATGAACATAAACTTCAGGATGAAAATAATTAAATTAGATGAATGAAGTTGTATACTCTAGACTTATTTTAATAAATTATTTAAACTTTTCTAATCTGTTATTCAGTTTTCTATCATGCCTAATTTTAGCCACTTAATAATTTTATATATATTTATATCTAAATTTTAAATTAAATTTGAGATTAAATTAAAAATTTAAATTTAATTTAATAATATATCATAAAATTATTAAACTAATAATAATGAATTGACAATTATTTTGTAGACAACCCATGCTTTCAAAACCTTCGCTGCAATTGTGGTGATAATAATGGCCGCAGAAAAAAGTATTGTGGAAACGATTTGGTGGGTCCGGGCTGTAAGTCTAACATTNAAAATTATTAAACTAATAATAATGAATTGACAATTATTTTGTAGACAACCCATGCTTTCAAAACCTTCGCTGCAATTGTGGTGATAATAATGGCCGCAGAAAAAAGTATTGTGGAAACGATTTGGTGGGTCCGGGCTGTAAGTCTAACATTATCTACAAGTGTCCGCTGTTTAGGTCAAGCAAACTGCAAGTGGAAGATGCCTGTCCTAATGGGTGCGAAAATGGCAAATGTATTCAATAAATACTCAAAATTTTTAAAAGTATTTTAAAACCAAACCTATTATCAAAAACTTTTATTTTTAATGTTTGAATTGCATTTTAAATGAAAGTAAAGCACTTTATATTTTCACTCTAATTATGATATTATATTGCATTAAATAAAAGTATTTTATTTAATAGAAAATGTTTTTTCATTATTTATTTAATAAAGTTTTGAAAACACTTTTCTTTATGAATAACTGATTTAAATTAATGATTTCATTAAATGCGAGTTCATTTCTGTGGAGATAATAATCATAATTATATTTGTATTATATTTATTTGATTTCATATAAAAATGTATTAATATTTTGATATCTCTATAAAAATGCGGAAATTTATGACCTAAAAAATGGTTTCAAGTTTTTGTGAATTAAATACCATTTTTCATAACTAAACAAAACACACATAAAATGCAATTCACATATAAATCAAATCAAATGTTTAATAGGGAAGCTTGCAATTGCTTTTCAATACATGTCTTAATACTGTACGCATAATAAGTCAAGATTTTTCAAATTTATTATACATGTAATGTGTAAATGCTTTATCTCTTAAAGCAATTAATTTTCCTAAAACTTCGGATATCTCTTAATATATCTTAAGAATAGAGTTATCGTAAAATTATATTCAAGTATAGGATATAAAACTTAATAAAAATGTTTAAAAATTACGAAAAATAGGTTTATTTGTAAACGACTTAATAGTGTATTGTCTCAACAAATCAATTTAAAAAATAATAAAGCTTTATTTAATAATTCAGGTATTTTGCTTTAAAAGTAATTATATTTTTAATAGTATTGTTACGAATATCGGGTTTCCTCTAAATTTATATTTTATTAAATATTGTTATACAATAGGAGTGAAGCGTAAAAATGTTAACTAAAAGATTAATTTATTTATCACTTTAAGACTAGATTATTACAGTAAACTGTTATTTATATATTTAAGTTAAGTCGACACTATTAATAAATAAATTAACTTTTTTTGAACACTACTTTTGCACAAAAGATCAAAAATTCACGTTTCAAATTGTTTTCACAATTAACGTTTAAACGCTATTATTAAATGTTAATAAAAGAAAATCTTATGATTTATTTATAAACTAATGGTAAACAAAAAGGCAATAAATATAAATTAAATATAAATATTATTTTGAGAGATAATTGTCTTATTTTTCTCATTCATTTCACTGTAATTTTTGGTGAATTTATAGAAAACATTACTTAAAACGGTAGTACAGTAGTAGAAAATTAAACATTGTCTATTTTTATGTTAATGTTAAAATAAATTCAAAACTATACTTATTGCTCTCTCTCTCTCTCTCTCTCTCTCTCTCTCTCCAGAATATTACTGTTTTAAATAAATCTGTGGGAAATATTCAAAATATTTTGATGTCCATAAAATAATATTCTACAATTAATCATAAATTTAAACCCAATAAATATTTTCCCTGCGTGTATTATTGAGTATATAATTATAAAGACTTTAATAATAACAAAGTAATTAATTTTAAATTATCAAAACAATTGTCAAAAAAAATGAAACTCTTCTTGTGATCGGATTCTCATAGAAAGAGAGTTATTATGAAGAAGTTGTTGACAGTCTTGACAGTCGTCGCTATCATTGAGTTAATGACAAATTGATTCAAACAAAAGGCGCAACAAATTGGTGCCAATGGTGTGATGATGGAGGGGCTAAGGGGACGATTACCCTTAACAAGCGAAGTGAACGGCAAGTGAGAGCTACTGGGAAATCAATGGCGCAAATCATTGCCACTAAATAACAATTTTTTGCTTTTCATTATTTCTAATATGAGGCAAAAAATAGATAATAAAGAAAATACCGAAGCGTTTATAAATAGGCCAATGGTTTGGACTATATTTTCGACTCTCATTCTCATAGTATTAGTTAATTAGTCAATAGAGAAGTGATTTTTCTATTTCTCTCTCATTTTTATTATTTATATGATTATATTATTTACTAAAAACTTATTTTACTTTTGTTTTATTCCACTTGTCGTTAGGTTTCGCATTCATTACCTATAAATAGTAATTTCTTAGTGAAAATCATAGACGTGAAAAGACTGACAGAAAAAGTGAATACAACGAAAATTACATGTTATATTTAAAAACAAAAAACTAAAATTAGACTTAATCTCCACTTTATGACAGCTATTATACCTATAAAAGTGAGGAACTTTTCGCAACATAATTGCATTTCAATTGATTTATCATTTCACTCGACATTAGAGTGAATATAATAATAAGACATTATTTGCACATTTTATGTGATTTTTTGATACTATATAAATCTAAATATTAAAATTGCAACAACTTTATAGTGTTTACTATAAAAACAATTTTTATTGTTTGGCGTAAATTTGTTGTCGACTGACAATAAAATTCATACATTGTGTGTGGACTGCGGTGTAAATAGTATTGTGTTAAGTGTTTCATAGGCTTTATTGCTATATAAACAGCGGTTTCTCTCTCTACTCGCGCCTATGCTATCATACCTGAGCTATGCCTCCAATTCCTTATGACCCGAATTGTTATATAATACTAGACTACAGGCCCACACATTCATAACTCGTATTATATGACATGATCTTAATTTTATAGCCAGTGCTCAGTGTTTAGTTGGGTTTGGAAAAGTGCACTCAAGTTAAACACTATATAAACGAAATGATTTTTTGATGCCGTTTTCACTTTCACTTTTCCCATACATTCCGTGTGTTTCCGATCACATCTTGTGTCCCGAAAGCAAACGTTTTATGTTTTGTTAATTTTTGTGAACAGTAATAATCGTTCATTTAAGACAATTGTTCAATAAATACCCATCACATTTTCATCATATTATTTCTACGCTATATATAATATCAAAAATGAAGTTTTTTATATTAATGTTATCATTTGTTTTGCTCATTCAGTTGTGTCTGTGTCAGAGACAAGGTATTTATATTTCATTCATAATTTTATTTTAATTATAATTTTATTTCATCCATAATATCGTAATTTTACTTTTATTAAGTTGAATGAAATAAATACTATAACATTATAAATATGTATATTGATATTTCATTTTAATTACTTTATTTTTATTTAAAGAATTATTTAATTTAATTGTAAAATGTTTATTAGTTTCTGTAAAATATTTTAATACAATTTATTTTATTTAGTTAATACTGTATCAATGATGCACATGTTCATAACTAAATTTACATAATTTTAAAACTTTTTAAAATACAATTACCCCAATCTTCCGATTTTGTTTTAAAATATTTAATAAAAATTTTTGACAATATTAATTAGTATTTAATTTGTAGCAATTTATAAAATATTAAGATTAAGCTGCTTTTTATGGCTTACCAATGGCCAAGCACGTAATTATATGATATAATTTACAATATTATTATTTACGATTATAGCGTATATGAACAGGTAATGAAAATTCAAAATACATTTCTAATTAAAACATAACATAAAAGCAATTAATAAAAGCGCCACAAAAAGTAGGGCTTTTGGATAACAAAAAGATTATATAATGAATGCGTGAATATCTTAAATTAGTAAATCATTGCATTAATGGTTGTGTTGAGACATATCGTGATTTGCTTTGATTTAGGAATTAATCATGAATTTTATGTCCCGACAAAATATGTGAACAAATCAGTTAATCCTNTGGATAACAAAAAGATTATATAATGAATGCGTGAATATCTTAAATTAGTAAATCATTGCATTAATGGTTGTGTTGAGACATATCGTGATTTGCTTTGATTTAGGAATTAATCATGAATTTTATGTCCCGACAAAATATGTGAACAAATCAGTTAATCCTAAGTAATAAGTAATTTATTCAAGTTTTCCCACTGAAATGCTACATAAAATCTAATTTATATTAGCAATATTTGAGTAATATTTAAGTAAAACATTATTTTGTTTTGTTTTCTTATAGTTATTTTTGAATGAAAAAACCTAACAAAAAATAATCTCAATATTTATCACTAAATACTTAATACTCTAATTTTTGTTATGTTTAATTTCCTAATCATTTATTTTTACACTTTTAACATGATTTAAAAATATATTTTAAGTTATATATGATCTAGCGATAAATTTAGATTTAAATATTTAATAAAGTTTTCATTGTATTCATAATAGGGATGTATAAAGTAAAGGGCGATTATCTGGACGTTCCCGTGAGGGCCAGCTATAAGATAATGGGTAACGATGACGACGGCTTCCTGGAGGACGGCATTATTGTCAAAACTAAAGGCTCCGGATATATTGACCCACGATTTAAGAATAGAGATCCCTATAGAGGCAGTGCCTCACAGATAATATACGGCCGGCCAGGTATTCAACGACTAACTCAATACATGGAAAATTAATTATCAGATAATGTAATAAAACAAAAAGGGAATTACGGATATATAGGAGTTCATAAGCTATAAATTAAATTGTTATTATATAAAATTTATTGTTAATAATATGATTTTTATTGACTTTTAA